CACCAGGAGACTCGAACCCTAGCCAGCACAGAAGCCTTCCAGCAACTGGCATAACAGGTACGCCTTAACCCGCTCCACCACCCACTCAGACCCCAGAGATGGTAATTTCGGAGTATTTAAATACACCAAAGATCACCACCTCCCAAGAGCACTAGAGCAAGTGAGGGTCATTTAGACGTTAATTTCATCAAGTCCCTGTTAATATGGGAGGACACAGTGTCTATACTTAAGGCACAACTCTCCTAAACACGAGAGTGAAGTATAGAACTTTAGAACACTTTCCCACCAGGAGACTCGAACCCTAGCCAGCACAGAAGCCTTATTAACAGGGACTTGATGAAATTAACGTCTAAATGACCCCTCACTTGCTCTAGTGCTCTTGGGAGGTGGTGATCTTTGGTGTATTTAAATACTCCGAAATTACCATCTCTGGGGTCTGAGTGGGTGGTGGAGCGGTTAAGGCGTACCTGTTATGCCAGTTGCTGGAAGGCTTCTGTGCTGGCTAGGGTTCGAGTCTCCTGGTAGGAAAGTGTTCTAAAGTTCTATACTTCACTCTCGTGTTTAGGAGAGTTGTGCCTTATATATATATATATATATATATATATATGTGTGTGTGTGTGTTTAATAAATAAAATTAATTATTTATTGTTACACAACCAATTTTGTAACGAAAGAGGTCTTAGACTCTCACTTCTCACTTTTTTAATAGGTCATAATAGTCCATACAGTCATAATTTTAGGTTTAACTATTTAGTGAGAGAAGTTTTTGAAGTTTTTACCCTTCTTACCTAACATCACGTGTGCAGTGGGGCATTTGGTGACAGTAAATGCTCCCACCAGGTACCTTCTCTCATATTTCATGTTCACCAGTGTTTATTTACTTAATAACTACTGGGATAATATCTTGCTATTATAAAAACTAATTCTAATATCATAAAAGACATATTTCCTTCACGTTTCAAGCAGAGAATGCATATATAACTAACACGAAGAACTTCTCTTCACGAGATTCACCAGCTATAATCTTTTGTTTATATTAAAATCTTAAAATCGATCCTCCGTGTTATGAACAGAGAAAAATTGAGTTATATCCAGTTTATGTAAAGTTAGAGTGGTCGACAGCACACTTAGCTGACGGAGCAAACTTACAAAGGTTTTCCTTCTTAGTGTGGCTACCTGAATACCGACGTAGCCACTACGAAGGCGCTAAGAAGAAAAAAACATTCGTAGCTTAGAAGAAAAACATTCGTAACTACCTTCGTGAATTTGGGCCGCTATGTATTTTTTATCTTATTAGTCTGTGTTGTAGTTCATTAGGCTACACAACCTTGGCGTAAGCTGGCTTTTTGAGCCGGACGAAAAGCATTTTAATCCTTTAAAGTGGAGGTTTAAGCGAGCATCATCAATAGCTGGTTCATGTTTGGCTAGCAATTATCCGAGGATCACTGTATTATGTTGGCCGGTTTTTTGGGTGGTTTCAGCTTGCTTCATCAGTCGGCTGGCCAATCCCGATGGGTTGCTGAAGTCTATATGTTCGGCCAGTTTAGTATATCAGTTTAGTGACGTTTGTGAATGCTCGTGAGGGCGGACTGTCTAATGTACCGTCTGGTTGGCTTGTTGTACCGTTTGGTGGCCTTGTTGTACCGTCTGGGGTCTTCTTTATACCGTCTGTAGGCATGTTGTACCGTATTGTGGTCTTGTTGTGCCGTCTGGTGGCCCTGTTGTACCGTATTGTGGCCTTATTGTACCGTCTGGTGGCCTTGTTGTACCGTCTGGGGCCCTGTTGTACCGTCTGGTGGCCTTGTTGTACCGTATTGTGGCCTTGTTGTACCGTATTGTTGCCTTGTTGTACCGTCTGGTGGCCTTGTTGTACCGTCTGGTGGCCTTGTTGTACCGTATTGTGGCCTTATTGTACCGTCTGGTGGCCTTGTTGTACCGTCTGTGGCCCTGTTGTACCGTCTGGTGGCCTTGTTGTACCGTATTGTGGCCTTGTTGTACCGTATTGTTGCCTTGGTGTACCGTCTGGTGGCCTTGTTGTACCGTCTGGTGGCCTTGTTGTGTACCGTTGTACGTCTGGTGGCCTTGGTGGCCTTGTTGTACCGTCTGGTGGCCTTGTTGTACCGTCTGGTGGCCTTGTTGTACCGTCTGGTGGCCTTGTTGTACCGTCTGGTGGCCTTGTTGTACCGTCTGGTGGCCTTGTTGTACCGTCTGGTGGCCTTGTTGTACCGTCTGGTGGCCATGTTGTACCGTCTGGTGGTGGCCCTGTTGTGCCGTCTGGTGGCCTTGTTGTACCGTCTGGTGGCCTTGTTGTACCGTCTGGTGGCCTTGTTGTACCGTCTGGTGGCCCTTGTACCGTCTGGTGGTCTTGTTGTGCCGTATGGTGGCCCTGTTGTACCGTCTGGTGGTCTTGTTGTACCGTCTGTGGCCTTGTTGTACCGTCTGGTGGCCTTGTTGTACCGTCTGGTGGCCCTGTTGTACCGTCTGGTGGGTGGCCTTGTTGTACGTCTGGTGGCCCTGTTGTACCGTCTGGGGTCTTGTTGTACCGTCTGGTGGCCATGTTGTACCGTCTGGTGGTCGTCTGGTGGCCTTGTTGTACCGTCTGGTGGCCATGTTGTACCGTCTGGTGGCCTTGTTGTACCGTCTGGTGGCCTTGTTGTACCGTCTGGTGGCCTTTGTTCTGGTGGCCAGTACCGTCTGGTGGCCTTGTTGTACCGTCTGGTGGCCTTGTTGTACCGTCTGGTGGCCTTGTTGTACCTTGTTGTACTGTCTTGGTGGCCTTGTTGTACTGTCTGGTGGCCTTGTTGTACCGTCTGGTGGCCTTGTTGTACCGTCTGGTGGCCTTGTTGTACCGTCTGGTGGCCTTGTTGTACCGTCTGGTGGCCTTGTTGTACCGTCTGGTGGCCTTGTTGTACCGTCTGGTGGCCTTGTTGTACCGTCTGGTGGCCTTGTTGTACCGTCTGGTGGCCTTGTTGTACCGTCTGGTGGCCTTGTTGTACCGTCTGGTGGCCTTGTTGTACCACTGTGTTATGATTGTCTTTCCTGACGATGAAATTCTATGTAGAATCTGGCCTAAAAGTTGAAGTTGGAGGTGGCTTCCACAACTCTTCTTTCTGAGCATCACACTTGTTGACCTCCCGTACTTTGTACAAGTAATTTTTTAAGTGTAATTTATTTGAGTTTCCGGCTCCCACCTGTAACTACATGTCTATTTTTGTTTATGTTTATAAGGATGGGTTTGTTCATTGTATTTATTACTACGATATATTGTATGTGGTGATCATGTCCTCTCTCCTCTTTCTTTTATCCTACGGTGCGAGACTGAGTTTCCTTAATCTCTCCCTGCAGGTTAATTCAGGCACTAATCTAGATGCCATTTGGATTTGTGGATAAAGTGACGATCTCACTTTTTTCCAGGTCGGCACTCGATCCCCCGATGTCTCGAGAGATGAGGGCATCATCCCTTCACTCTGTCCCCCCCCCCCTATCCCAGCTCATATCTTGTCTTCGTTTCCCTTCCATGTGTTATATTGCCGTACTGGATTATTGCCTCCTAATTTTCTTTCCTTATTGCAATCATGTGCATTTTTTTCGAGGGAAATTTTGCACTTCACAAGGTTTGGATTCGATGCCGGCGCTGCGTATTCTGGTATTGGTCTATAATGGTTTCATCAGAACTAACAGATACACCGGGCAAGTGCTTTTAACGGCCAGAAGGAAGTAAGGACAAAGATTACTGACCACATATTGACCACATTACTGACCACATATTGACTACGTTACTGACCACAACTGACTACGTATTGACCACATTACTGACCACTTACTGACCACATTACTGTCCCCATCTGACCACATATTGACCACATTACTGACCACAACTGACCACATATTGACTACGTTACTGATCACAACTGACTACGTATTGACCACATTACTGACCACTTACTGACCACATTACTGTCCCCATCTGACCACATATCGACCACATTACTGACCACAACTGACCACATATTGACCACATTACTGACTACAACTGACCACATATTGGCCACATTACTGACCACATATTGGCCACATTACTGAACACAACTGACCACATATTGACCACATTACTGACCAGATATTGGCCACATTACTGACCACAACTGACCACATTACTGACCACAACTGACCACATATTGCTACATTACTGACCACAACTGACCACATATTGCTACATTACTCACCACATATTGGCCACATTACTGAACACATATTGACCACATTACTGACCACAACTGACCACATATTGGCCACATTACTGACCACAACTGACCACATATTGACCACATTACTGAACACAACTGACCACATATTGACCACATTACTGACCACATATTGGCCACATTACTGAACCCAACTGACCACATATTGACCACATTACTGAACACATATTGACCACATTACTGAACACAACTGACCACATATTGACCACATTACTGACCACAACTGACCAATATTGACCACATTACTGAACCCAACTGACCACATATTGACCACATTACTGAACACAACTGACCACATATTGACCACATTACTGACTACATATTGGCCACATTACTGACCACATATTGACCACATTACTGAACACAACTGACCACATATTGACCACATTACTGACCACAAATGACCACATTACTGAACACAACTGACCACATATTGACCACATACTGACCACATTACTCAACACAAATGACCACATATTGACCACATTACTGACCACAAATGACCACGTATTGGCCACATTACTGACCACATATTGACCACATTACCGACCATAAATGACCACATATTGGACACATTACTGACCATATAATGGCCACATTACTGACCACATATTGACCACATTACTGACCACATATTGACCACATTAGTAACCACATATTGTGGTCAGTGTTGTCAGGGTGAGAGTCTGTATTGCTATCTAAATGACGCAGTCTAATTGCAATCTATGAATGAACATGATGCATTTAGCAAAACGGAGAGCAGTAATGAAGTGTCCATTGCTATATTTGGCAGATAGTTCGCCAACACCGGTGGAGGTCAGAGTAAGAAACAAATTAGATTTCCACGAAGATTTAACAGCGCAGACGTTGTTTTGCATTAGATTGATCCTCCGCCTAAGACTCTGAGTAACTCTCAGTGGGCCAGCCAGAGGCTTAAGGCCCGCGCAGCGAAATTCATCCACACAAAATCAAGGGAAATGCGGCCCAGCTTGAAGACAGGGGAGGATGGGAAGATTCCAGTGTAAATAAACACAGGTTGTCATATTATTTGAGGAACTTCACAATTATAGCAGAATCCACCCCAAAATAAAATTTACCAATGCAAATATTTTACTGTGCACATGCACCCTGTTCCGGATACGCAGCTTTCGAACGACGAGCTCAAGGGTGTTGGTCAGCAACCTGTACAGGTGATTAAGCTTGGTGTGTCGGAAAATCCGACACCATTTAATAATATCATACAGACAGATAATAATTGCTGTGTTGTATAAACAAGTTACCCATAGAAAACGTAAACTGTAGTGGAATTTCCATCTATAGAAAACGGGATATCATTCCACATACTGTTATAAATTCACCACCTATTATGGTGGGAATTATTCTTAAATACATTAGTCTTTGGAATTTACCATCATAAAAACATCTCAAATAAATTAACTTAATTATCAGAATTAAAATAGAGTAAATGTGACCCTTCTATTACTTACTGTCATCTGGACAATGTAGGCCAGTAGCATCAGGAAGGAGGGAGTGGTCTATCTTGAGGTTATCTTGAGATGATTTCGGGGCTTTAGTGTCCCCGCGCCCGGTCCTCGACCAGGCCTCCCCCCCCAGGAAGCAGCCCGTGACAGCTGACTAACACCCAGGTACCTATTTACTGCTAGGTAACAGGGGAATAGGGTGAAAGAAACTTTGCCCATTGTTTCTCGCCGGCGCCTGGGATCGAACCCAGGACCACAGGATCACAAGTCCAGTGTGCTGTCCGCTCGGCCGACCGGCTCCCTAAGCCATTGTTAGGCGGTCAGCCATTGTTATTGTATTAGACCAGAGGCATGGGAGCAATTTGGCTCCTGTTAATTTACTTGGACGAAGTGTTATGGAAACAAAGGTGTACCATCATCAGCACGCTGTCAACAAATTCAAGTTAAGTGTTCTGCCGAAACCCATTTATTTATCATTTAGGGCCATTAATATCATTAGGTAGGGTGACCGGTTAGAGCACGAGATCGCCTCATATTAGGGGTAATTAAGCCAGGTCTTTATGTTTCCTTGTACAGTGTTTTCTCTGATATAGCTGTCATATATTAGGATTCTGGCTTCATAGCTAGCGCCCTTTTGACAGGTCAAGACGAGGAAGCATGCTTTGTGCATCAGTTACCAGGGTGTTGGAAGCTACCTCACACGAGGAAAATGTGGTGTCTACATCCTGGTTATACCTGGTGGACTAAGGCCTGCTGTACAAATAAGATAAGGAACCTCTTCAATGTATGTAGTCTAATACTGTAGTTTGATTGGCTGCATATATATAAATTCAATTAATATAAACCCCCCCTAATGTGTAGAGGAGCGATTTGTGAGATTATGAGATTATTGCAGAAATACAGTCCACTTAACATCATACAAATTGCTATCGAAGTATATAAATTAACGTAAATATAAATTCATATAAATTAAATAAATATAAATCTCACAGGTCGGTTCCCACATTATTTGGTCCTTCGAACCAGATTATTTGGTCCTTTGAACCCACATTTGGTCATCTTAGTACCGGATGAACCAGTTAACCAGTGGATTCATTAAATACAAAGCCAGCAGTCAAAGACGGCGGCGTTGCCTCGAGCGAGTTCACGAGCCCCACTCAGTTCAGATCAGCCTCATCAGCGGTTTCATGCACACCCACAGATTTGGTGGCGTGTTATTCTGTGAAATGACAGCGCTAATATTGAAGCAGCCAAATTAGTGGCTGTGTCGCGAGATTGTTCATGGATTTCGTGGTGTTAAATTTGCGAGAGATTATCCACGAACTTTGTGGAGTTTATTTCGCGAGGTCACTAATAATATTTAATACTTCTAGATAATATTAGAAGTTTCATAGAGGCTAATTAAGAGGCTATTATCAATAATTGTGTATATTATTTCTCCAAAATAGAGAATTATTTAATATATATTGCACTAGTGATCACAGTATAATATTTACTAATTGCCAACCCACAACAGGGTAGGATATTACCATTGACTAGTTGAACTATTTATTGTTCAACTACTCAATGGTCCCATTATTACCATAGTCAGTTGTACTATATTGAACAACCTAACATCATTAATGAATGGTCCAGACCCTATTTTGGGTGTAATTTTTATCAACTCGAGTTGAGTTGTATATATAATAATTTACTTATGATCATTACACCTTTGAGTGATTAATTAGTGTCTATACCATCCTAGGGTGATATAGAAGAGCTAACCTAAAGGTACTTCCATGACACTGGTTTATCACTCAAATCATTAGTGTGTATGATTGTATATATATAATGTGTATTAATTTTAAGTGCTAACCTCTAGTAGAGGTAGGATTATCGCCTAGTGAGTGCAAAATTTACCCTAGGCTACCATTAGTACTTGCTCACAATTTATGAGCCAGTGGTGCCCAATTAACAAGTCACCATGACTAATCCACATAAAGCAAAGCGTGCTTTAGTAGCAAGTAAACGTCAACTGAGAAGAGATCTCAACCAATATGAACAGTTGTTATATGAGCCTGTAATTAATTATCGTCGGTTGAAAATACCACTATTACAGATTCAAACCCAATTGCATATATTGAAAGCAAATAGGAAATCTTACCAAAATCAGGTCCACGACGACGACGACGTAGTAGTTGAAGATGTGGAACCATTCCTGTCTGACCTAGCACAATATGAAGAAGAAACTCAAGCCAGGTTGGAACATTTACACAGGATAATTGAATCAGAACAATTAGCAAATACATCAAATAAAGTAGATAATGTTATGGATGATCTGGATCTTTTTGAGAATAAATGTCAAGCCAGATTAGATCCTTTAATCAACAAGGATAAAGCTTCACCCACTACAGCTTCACCCAATATTATACCACCAGAAATTAAGCAGTTCTCAGACAATTTATCCACAGTCTCTGTGGTTTCTGAAAACCCAATACCTGAGGCTACTAAGTTAACATGCCTCCAAGCTAGAGGTGAAGCTGAACCAGTAGTAGAAAATGTAAATGAAAATAGCGACAGCACTAATTTCCCAGTCCAGCCTCCTAGGAATAATGCTGGCAATGAGAAAACTGTTATACATCTAGTACTACAACTGCTGGATTTACCTCAACCTGATCAGACTGCTGACTCATTACAATCCTTCAGCATGGTGTTTGAGTCACTACTAAGAACATTCAGTCTTAAGGTTGATATAACTACTAGTGAATGGATGACCAAAGTAGTCCTTCAACGAAAATTGTCCAGCAATATACTAGATGAATTATATGCACATCAACATAACACCATCCTGACAGTACAGGACATCACTGAAGGTTTACATTCCATCATAAACAAACGACGTGCAAATGAGGAAGTTAAAGCCTCTTGCAAGCCTTCAGTAATAGAAAATAATAGTCAGTTAAAGGGTAAAACAACTACCCCAAATAAACATCAACCCAGGTCTAACATCAAGTTGCAGAAAATCTGACAATGCAGCAGAATCCTCCAAGCCTACTGTTACTAGTTCACCCAAACCGGTAACTTCCAAACGTGCAGTAGGCTGGGGGACATGTATGTTCTGCAAAAAGAAACATTCAACATACTGTTGTGCTAATTATCCAACCAGAGACACTCGTATTGAGCGACTCCAGGAATTAGGGAGATGTTCAAGGTGTCTCAAGTCACACAACATAGACTATTGTGATACCCAATTCAACACCTGCAACAGGTGTAGAAGAGGTAGGCACCATGCAGCACTGTGCAAATATACGAAATTAACGTATTCAATACCCAAGGTGGAAGATTGCATTCCCACCACAGTACAGTACTGCAAGGTGCAACAAACAAAGAGTGTCCAATCGGCAAAGTCTAAAGGTAATACGACTTTGCCTACTGCCCAAATTACCATCCTGAATAAGAGGGCCAAGGTCCATACCCGTGGGTTGTTTGACCAAGGATCCCAGAGAACATGTCACTAAAAAGCTGGCAGATGAACTACAATTAAGGCCTGTAGCCCAGATGTCATTCAATATCTCAGGGTTTGTAACAGATGCAGGACCTCAAGTCTACCAGGTGGTACAACCATCAGTACGTTTAGGCAGGTACGTCTGTAGAGTACAAACCATTGTGGTGGACAAAATACCAGTAGAGCTACAAGTTCAAGGTCTGAGAGCAACAGCCAAATTCCTGAGAAATAGAGGAATAAAATTGGCAGATAATATTAAGTCTGATCACCTCACCGACTTCGGTCTCCTTGTAGGGACAGACTATTGTCATCGATTCATCGGTAGCCCTACTAAATATCAGGCATAACCATGTTAAAGTCTGCAGGAGGTAAATTACTCTCAGGCCCAGTATCAAGCCTGAGGAGACCTATGCCTGCAGATAAACAATACCAGTAGAAATCTAAATTTGTCAGCTGATTATATTTCTCCAGTAGCATTATACTAAGGAGATTACAGCTGACTATACCAACAGAGGTTGATGTTAGTATCATCATTTGAAGCTGAAGATGAGTTCATGAGGCCTCAGTGGCAAATCAGTGAACAGTAGCCTAAACAGCTACAAGTCACCGCGACCAATGTCACTGAACCCACTGCAGTCTCAGAACCATACATTACTTCAATGATGAGCTATTCAATCTTCTGAATCAATTAACTAAATTAAACCCCAATAAATCTGATGACTGATTTGATACATTTATTATTTAATCAAGATGTATTCCATGGGCCTCAGTGTTTATATATCAGTGACCAGTTACCTGAACAGACTTCAAGTTATATCTAATGTCACTGATCTCACTGCAGTCCCTGAATATTACTT